ATATATATATATATAAAATTGTCCCAAGCATCTCTCTCCCCCGTCCTCATAAACACAAATATATCTTAATCACAAATGAAGACAGAAAACAGTTTCCTTTCAATCCACCTATATTTCGATCACATTCAGTGATCTTCTTCAGGGTGACTAACTAGCCGTTAACGTACAAAACTTTTAAATTGCTGAATTACGAAGGTAACGCGCGCGCATCACAACTGAAATGACTGTTATTTTAAACGTCTAACGGAAAATGTCATAGATGACACTATCATCTCCTGCGCGCGCCCGCGCGCGTCTTGCGGTTCTGGGCGTAAAAACCATCATCTTCATTAAGTCCTTGAGGGCGCAGCGTTCCCAATCTATACATCCACTGTCCCTCCTTCTTCCGCAACTCCCTCTCTCCCATGGCTCTGTCTATTAACTGTATAGTTAAATGGCTTAATCCTAAGTGTCCCGAACTATGAAAATGCTGGTAAAGAAAATCGTCATTCCTCTTATTTTCAGAAGACAAATCTTTTTTTTATATATATATATATATATATATCTGTTTTAGGATTTTAGCCTAAAATGGTTCTTATGTGAAGGGTGCTTAAAAATGAAATTTTAAATTTAATTTTAAATGTTAGGTTCTTATACGCGGGTTTTTACTGTATTCACAAGTTTATCATTTCGCAAAAAACAGCATAATGGCTTGAATGGAACCGCTAAAAGTTTGAACTGTTTCCTCACCTAAGAAGAAAAGTGGAGCTTTGTTGTTTTCTGTTGTCTCGCCAAGTTTATAGCAAAAAGGGCTTATTGTGTCGTTCTTCGCATGAAGTGCTGACAAAAATGGCGGCTCGGTTGCTCAAGGTAAGACGTCGTCTTCCTGTATCATTCTTTTTCCTATTTACTTGAAACGTAGAATTTCTGCAAACATTTCCTTTTAAGTTAGTTTGTCATAAATAAACTACGATTTTTGAGCCAAAATTTTATTGTTAGAGACGCTGAGTTCACGAAACGGCTTCTTCTACGCCAATACACGGGAGTTGTAAACAATCCATCCAGCACAGAAACTCAGCTACAGTAAATTGAAAAACGCCGTATTTAATCCATCCAAGTCTTTTCTTGCCTTAAAAAAAGTCAGCCCTAGGATTTTGTCGACTTTTAAAAGATCGTTCTCTAAAAAAATGGGAAAAACACCGAGCTCACACATTATCCACTCGTAGGAGGTGAATATTGTTGAATAGTCCGAGATAGCGAACCAATCAGATTGCTTAAATCACAAAGATCACTGAGTGTGTATATACTAATGCAGGATATTCACTGATTGAGTAGCCAATCAGAGCGCGCGAAAAACACTACCCATTGTTTTAGTATATACCATATATTACATCAAATTCGATCACAATTACTGTAATAGTCTTGTTAATAATTCTTACCCCTGAACCGCCCTTCCCCCACAACACCCCTTCCCTACCCCTGGTTTTTGTTCACGAAACTCTTTGGCTGCGTCCAGTTCACAGTTTGCACATGTATGTTTATAGGCGACTTTTGTGATTAGAATATGTTTTCTTTGTAAAATCGGACCGACAAACCGTTACGTGTAAACTACCCTCTAGATTATACATCACAATATCTGATAATCAGTAACCTTCATAGTAAGTTATACTTTTTGTTTCTTCTGGCGAAAAGACTCAGAAAGGTTGATATCTTATTTGGCATTTACCACTATGAATAATCATAATTTTGCAGTCTTTGCGTGTTGTTTTAAATTTGGCTAAATCGGTGCTGGACGTAAACTACAGATTATAAACGTAACAGCAATGTATTAAAAAAAAACAAACAAACAAACAAAGTCAATTTTTTGCAAATTTACGATTCTGTCGGTAAAATAATCGACAAAACGTTTATGTACTTTCTTATAATGTGCGTTAATGTGTAAGGCGCAACACGCCATGCACCATTATCACAAATTTCATTTACGCTTCGCGAAGGGAAAAAGCGCTGCACAACACCATGCAAAATTATGACTGACAATCAAAGTATGAATAAAACATAAATGAAACATGTACAACAACAACAACAACACTTTTTATTCAAGACAGCAAGTAGAGTGACTGAAATGTTTCCGAAAGCCTTTTTTTCTTTGAGTGTGTTTGTTTGTTTGTTATTTTAGCTAGATTGTGAGGCTTGCGTTTAAAGTAGACGAACGCGCCTCGAAGCAAGACTTTCGCTAATTATCGTAAATTTCCGAGAATTTTGTCGTAAGTCGAACACAAGAAGCTCCGATTTAGATTTTTACTTGACCCCTAAAATGGTTAATTTTGCACCAAAACGAAACGCATCGTCAATGTCTGGGACTCCCTTCCCTATCCTACTAAGTTTTCACAAAATGGAAACTTAATAAGCGTTGTAGAAAAATCGTTTCGCTATGGAGTTACTGAATTAGTTTAGCCGAACTCCTTCCCAGCCCTTATTTTCTAAAACATTGTGATGTCGAGGTGGCCTCTCCTGTAAGCCTGGTGGTTTCTTGAGGTCCCCTCGCTTAACAATTTGCTGTATCCTTTAAAATCTGTTCTAACCTAAAGGCTAACAAATGATGATGATGAAGATGAGCTCAATTCATTGTCAAAAGACGCAGGTTGCCCAATTTCATTTCGCCCCTAAATATTGCCAGTCACTCCAGCCCCACCCCCACCCTCTTTCTGCCACCTCGCCCAAATTCCGTACGAACATACGGGCGTACGCTGACGTCATAACCAAATTTTCTGGTTTCGATGGGTTTTCCATTTTCCCTTAGGTATAGGGCTCCGTTCGAGTGCGCTTCGCGCGCGCGTGGGGATCCGTTATGAAAGCCAAAAGGCAAATTCCCTTGAGAACGTCACGTGGTCTGAACAAAACATACAAGCTAAAAAGGTCTATTTTGGCGCTTTTTGTTTCGAATTCTGTTTTTTTTTTGGTGACAGAATAACAATTCAATATGATACTATGATACTAGAAATAAAACCAAGCTCTTACTGAATGGAAGTCTATTCCCTTAAACAAATTATCAGTATTTCAACACCTCAAACCTGGATTATTATTTCTTTGAAGGAAATTGAACAAAAGCTACAAATTGTATTAAGAATTACATATCTACGAACAACGATCATTGAAATGATAAGAGTCCAAGATTTTGGAGGTTCCGTTTCTTGGTCCCGTGATCATGGGCATGTTCCGATAACTTTATGGTACATTACTTTGTATAATAAACTAGAAAGTACTGTGCTATAAAATGGCTGATGCATATAAAAAATGTTTACGTTATAAGACCACCCAGAAACTTCTGGACCAGCATTTTCCCTACCAACAACCCCCAAAGTTCCGTCTGAGGGCCCTAAACAATGAAGGAGGAAAAAACAGGGGAAGGAAACAATTCTTCGCGTGCAAGCTGTGCTCTCTGTTAGGTGTGTGAGACAACTCCCCACTTTTAAATGCGTTTCGCTGAGCATCTATTTGCGTATAAGACCTCTGACATTTTCAAGTCTTTCAGAATTGTGGGCAAAGTTGATTAGCAAAATTGCTGGTAAACAGTGATCAGTGTCCTAGACTTGTTGTACATTGGTCGATCATTTTTTACGTGAGAGACGAAAGATGCATATGTTTATTGTCATAACATTAGCACTAATAATGTCCTTAGTCCCCAATTACACGTTTTCTTCTCCATTTTTGGCAGTTTTTTACCCATCCAGCGGTGCACAGTGAATTGAATCGTAAGTGGCGTGGTCGCGATTTGGAAGAATGTAAGCCTCGGCATCTGAATTTCTTCAAGTTTTGGTGTATTTTTGACCTTGTGTTTTCACCAATCCTGCTTGGTCTGTTTTCTCCGCGGAACAAGCCGACAGGTACACTGTTTTGAACCGTTTTAATGAACTGTGTTAACTTTGATTAAAGTGGACTGTAGTTGCTTTATATGGAGATGATTTCGTCCACGGAATTTGGACTAACTTAAGTCGGAATATAAACATTTTATAGGCCAATGGTGCTAAGCGTAACACAATTGAAAAATCAGGTTGTAGCGGAAAACCGCCAGTTCCTATTTTTTGACATAGTAGTTACTGAAGTGATCTCGGGAAAAGAGGCTGTAAATATTCTTTTTTTTAGAATAACTATTTTTAACGTCAAAGAATTTCAATTTTCTTGTAAAACCAACAACATTAACCTCATTTTTCCATTAGGACATTTTTAAAGCTTCACATGCACCCGTGGGACAGGGAAAATAACGCGTGTTGAAAAATTAAATTCAAACTCTGGAATTTCTTTGCAGTCTTGTAGACTGAGGCCTGTTTATTTTCAGACCCTCTAGGAGGAATGTGTCTATCTTAGCAGAGGCTAGAAGTAGTCAAAGTAGTCAGCAAAAATGAACAAAAGACAAATTAAAACATTTTCTTGGAAAACGCATAGTCACATGTGCACGTACATCCATCTTGTTTCGCCTTGCGGCTTAGAAAACTTTGTATACTAAATGCGTAGCTAAAAGCGCGCTTGTTTGGCTTCTTGGCTTTGAGAACGCGGTATTATACTGTTGGCCCTACTGTATAATTTTTACTTTGTTGTCTCAACGCTGATTTTGTCCATTCGTATGACGCATACTAGTCGAAAACTTTCTCACCGTCTCCTAATTGAGTGAACTCACTGAATGAGATGGATTTCGGTCGACAACCGTCTGCTTGTCAATTCGACACCATGCAACTGCACCATGCACCATGCAACTGTATGGGTTAAAAACCTATTTTTCGACTTGTATCAAGCCGACCGGTAGTATTGCACACGACCGCTCATTAAAAACCTGAATCCTTGAGGAAGTCTAATTAGCTTATTGCCCCCGCAGGGATTTCGCCCAGAAGGCGAAATCCCGAGGAGGAACTCTAGTAACTCGCGCGTATATTAAGGAAAGTACTTACAGTTGAAATATACAGTCAGTATGCCAGAAAAAGTCTCGATTTGCCTGAACAGGGGCCGCGAGGAATCGGTAGGTAATGATGACGTTTCTGTTGTTTGCGCCCGCAAGTACGAAATGGTTAGGATGACGTAAAGACAGAAAATCCCGAAGGGACTGCTTAGGTAGATTTTGTGACATTTATTGTGCAGTCATACTTCGATACTCTTTTTCGTTACGTGTTATCAGTGACATTCTGTGGAGCAGTTGTTTTGAAAGTTATATGGACCAAAAGACACTCGTTAAGCGCAGATGAAGTTATAAAGTGCGTATAACTGTTTATATATGAACACTTGGAGAGTTTGCCAGACACGAGTTCACAAATCTTAGATTGGAAACCTTGCCAGACACTCTTTCTCTCTCTTTGACCGGAATAAGACTCAGCCCCAAACAAGCGAGACACGTGAACAACGGCTAGCTTATCAGTAGCAGAACGATGGACGATTACAGAAATTCGCTGACAATCAAGTTCTGTGCTGACTTATTCCCTGCTCACAGATGTCCTTCCCTTATAAAGTTTAAAATAAGACAAGAATGCACAAGCGTAAATTGATCAAACATCCTTTTAATCTCTAAGCTTACTTTCCGGCAAATAAAATGAACTGAATGTAAAAAGTGAAAGAGAAATAGCGAAAATTCAGCTTCTAATTAAATCTTTCAGTTCTTATGGTTCAGAATAAACTATTCTCGCAACTGAGAATGTTTTGATCAAAGCTGTGTAAATCGAACAGGAACTGTGCATGGAACCTTGCGTTTCCTGTATTTATCTCACCTATTGTATGGAATATGTGTGAAAATCTTCATATGAATCGGTATATTTCAACGAGCTGACGAGCAAGAATACTATTGACCGACAATATACAGAGCGGGGGCAGCCGTAGTGTCAACTATTACTAGTTATATCGAGATGGTCGCGAAATAGAGCCGGAAGGAGAGCCCAGACAACTTTTTCGGTAGTTATATCAACCTTTTACTGAGTTATTTTGGGAAGTGTCTTGAATTTTAATTGCAATCAAATAAATGTTTTGTGTTGATTTTGATTGTATGTTTGAAAAAAAGAACTCAACATAAATAAATAAACAAAATATATTCTATATATCCATTAGCGCCCTTGTATGTAAACAAAAACTTTAAGTAAAACAATTGTTATTCCAGATAAGAAAACTACAGCCAAAAAAAAAAATCATTTTCGACTTCTCAACAACTCCGATTTTTGATTTTCAGAAGACTCTCACTCCAACGCAAGTGAAGACACTCCAACAAGAGAGCAGCCTTTAAAGGTAGCCAAAGCAGATCGAGATGATCGCGAAATAGGGCCGGAAGGTGAGCCCAGACAACTTTTTCGGTAGTTTATATCAACCTTTTACTGAGTTGTTTTGGGAAGTTTCTTAAATTTTAATTGCAATCAAATGAATGTTTTGTGTTGATTTTGTTTGTTTGTTTGAAAAAAAGAACTCAAGATAAATTCCATATCTCCATTAGCGCCCTTGTATGTAAACAAAACTTTAAATAAAACAATTGTTATTCCAGATAAGAAAACTACAGCCACAAAAAAATCATTTTCCAAAGCGTATCTGGCTTGCCTGAGATCTCCCCGCTACAAGTTTTTACGGGATACGCTGAGCTACATAATCATGCTTTTCCTTCACTACGCACTCTGCTTGTCACCTTCAACCATTGCGTTTAGTGGATTAGAGTGGACCATCCTCGTTTTCTACGTTGGTCGCTTTGTGGCAGAGTTGAAGCAGATTTCCTGTATTATGCAATGGTTAAGACATCCGGAGAAAGAAACTCTTAAGTGCTACTGTTTCAGGATATTCTCAGTATATTGCAGGTAAAGAAGACGTTTAAATGAGTCCGTGCATTTGAAGTTAACTAATATTTTAGAATTAGGAAAAACCGAAAGGCGAACCTTCAATAACACACACACACAAAAAAACAACAACAACAAAAAACAATGAAGAATATTCAAACCCAGTCATTTCTTTAGCAGTATAGCTAAAAGACATAACTAGAAAATTGAGACAGCCAAACATAAACTATAAAACGGATAATTAAATGTTGTAAGTAACGATTATTCTGAAAACGTAAAGAGAGAAAAGTTTTGTTTCCAGCCGGGAATGATACTGTGAACAAAGTAAAGACAATCTTTTAGTTAAACATTCATATGATACCCATTTCAAGGTGGCAACTAGCTAAAACAGCTCAAAGAAGCTTTTGATTTTATCAAACTGTATCTTAAAAGTAACTGTTACAAAAAGAAGTTAACAAAAATTCAAAAGAATTTCCTATCTGAAATTAGGATTGTTGGACAGATTTTATATAAGCATTAAGGCATAACAAACTTACCATTTTTGCCAAGGGTCAAAAAGCTTAGAAAAAATAATTTCCTCTCAATCTTAGATTTTATCACAAATATTCAATTGGTTGTGTTATGCAATTAGCAGTTATTAGATGATGCTGAGAATGATACGAAGAATTATGCAGATCGAGGAGTGTGATGACCGCTGAGACCAAAGGACAAAATATTTTATGAGAGGTTCCGTAGAAATATTTTCAAACTTTCCGACAGAGGGGCATGAAACACAAGCATTTGGTTTTATCAACTGAGTTGCCACCGCAGGAGGATAGAGAGGCTGAAGCTTCGAGTGCTAGCCCTTCGTCAGAGCGAGTCAGGAAATTGTGGGTTATGTGTGGTCCATGAACCGTGGTTGGAGCTGTGTTATTCGGTGCGATCATGGTAAAGGGAAAAACAAAGATAAATTATTTGAATTCGTTTATTCCGTGGGGAATACGAGTGCCTGTTTGAAAGATACGTTTTTGCTATGGATTTTTTTGCTGCTTTCCGTGTTGCCTCAAGAGAGAACGCAGGTTGCCATGTTTTGGCTGGAATGATTCGCAAGATTAAAATGGCGAACTACCGGTTTTGATGCGTCTTTGTCGTTTCTTTCAATATCTTGAAGATGGTCGTGGAAAGGGTTGCCTAGTTTTCGGCTTGTTTCGCCTGTGTATGACTTTTTGCATTAAGCATACAGGTGATGTAATGGATGACATAACCGGATGTGCATGTTAAACCGCGGTCAGTGATCTTAAAATACTGTTTTGTTTCCGTGCCCACGCGGTACGTTGTGGATGAAAGGACACGTCAGGTTTTGCATCGTTTGCGCGCGGATTTGAAGGTTCCAGGTTGGTCGGCATCAGATTTTAGGGTGCTTCTAGCTAAAAAAGTTGCCGATGTTTTTTGTCGCGTTTAAAAGAAATTAGTTGTGGTTGTGTTAATATTCTGCCTCTTTCAGGATCGTTTTGAAGTAATTTAATTTTTAAGAACGATGCTGTTCACTGCGTGATAGTGTGGATGAAAAGTTAGAGTGAGTGGAATTCTCGCGTTTGTTTTCTTCTGTGACGAAAAACCAGTAGCTCGCTATTTTAATACTGCTAATCATTCCAGCCAAAACATGGCGGTCTGAGGTGTCTCTTTTCACCGGGCGACGCAGTAAGCCGCAAGAATCTACAGCAAAAGCTTATCTTACAAACTCAGCACGCGTGTTCCCCAACAGAACTTCGCAACGAAAGCAATTTAATTAAACTGATATATTCTTGTTTTTTACGTTACCAAGATATCACCAATAATACAGCTCCAACCTACGGTGTGACGATAGTTTTTGCCCTTCCAAGCACAAATCGGGGAAATAGGCGTTAAGAGAATTCGAAGTGACTTGGGCGTAAGAACAACAAGGGGAAAACTAACTCTGCAACTCGCTTGGCTAGCGGGAAAGGAACTCGTCACTATTCCAAGGTACTAGGATCTGCTACAACGGGAAACAGGACAGGACTCAAACCTGGACTTTAACAGTTTAATCTTCAGCTCGTGAACGTAAATCATACAGTCAAGCAAATCCGCAATGTAAATCGAAAAACAGGAATAACAGTGCTCTATTTATACTAACCGATCAACTTATTACAACATCACAAAACAAACGGAAAGAAGGCTGAATAAAATCAGCCGAACAGCGAAAACAAATCTGGATAAATTCAGTTTTAAAGTTCATATGTTAAACTAAATAACTCAAAATTAAATGTCAGTCAAGCAAGTGAATTTTAGGAAACTTACAAAGAAAGCTGTCTAGAAGAATTCGAGTTTCCTTTGCTCAGGATTCCATGAAATGTCAAAACTAAAACCTACGAACGGTTGGTATTTGAACAGGCGAAAGATCCAGTTATTCAAATCTCAAATCTCAAATCTTTATTTTAACACGGTAAAAAAATTCATCTGGTTTTTCCTTACATATAAAGTACTGGTTGCTTCACAAGTACAACTACATAACAATAATTCAGTGACTAAGCGGTGTAATTATCCAGAAACAAATTATCCTTTCAAAAGTAAACATTGAAGTAGAATGTGTATAACTTTAGGGAACTAAAACAACTCAATACAAATTCAATTTAAATTGCGGCTAACACAACTTCAAAGGGAATATTTAAAAGCTAGATATAAAATTCGAATCAAATAAAGAATACATGGGAAATCTCTCCTTACATTCCTCCCACCTTAAAAAATTTCGACGTCCTCGTGGAAGGAAACTGAACTAAAAAGTACTTGGGGCACGGAACACAAATAGCTTCAATTTCGTAACTGATAATAGAACCATGAGCTTTGATCTCACTCTGATCTGTCACAAATTGCTCGCGAACTTTTTCTCTCTAAGGCATATCTTTAAGGCAAAACTTAATATTGACTGGACTAAACAGTACTTAAACATCAATGAGTATCATGACAATTGGAATTCCTATAAATGGTTTTTCGTGTTTCTCCTGCGAACTATGTAAACTATATAAGCTGATTTTCTGGGACGGTATTTTTCTACACAAATATCTTAACACCGATCTATCTAAGCTGAAATAAAGTTCCTTGGGTGTAACGGTGGTTGCTTCACAAGTACGGAAAGGCACTCGTTGTATCTTTCTCTGAACGGTGCTCACGGCGCTGTGCAATGCATGGATTAACGTAAGGCCTCTCTTTGGACATGAATTCGTTGTTTAGGGTAGAACTGCTTCGGGGAACGTCATAACTGCTGGAAAATCGGCATCACTTGACGTCATAGGTGGAAACTGTTTTGTACTTCTCTGTTGGACTGGCTGAGGCGGCTCTCTCATTTTCTTGGATTCATCAGTTGCTTGTCCAATTTTATAGGGCTCTTTTGGATCAGGCACCGTTGCCTGCGATGCAGTCAGTAGGTATAAAGCGATACAAAGCGCGGTCAAAAAGGATTGACGGTTCAATAAACGAGAAACATTCGTCTTTCCACTGGGGCGGGTTGCGGGAATCAGCTCTAAACGGCGATTACTTTCCTTTGGCACATGTGTTTCATCAGAGGCTGATGGAAAGAATAAAGTTCCTTTGAAAGCTGGGGGTAGGGCACGTTTTCTTGAGGCCTTGTTTTGCTTAATAGGAATTTTCTCTGTGGCAGAATTTTCCTCAGTGAATTCTTCACTACGGTTTGGCTGTACGGGGCTTTGTTCGCAAGTCAGCCTTTTGCTAATTCTCTGTCTGGGTAAGGTTCATCTCTTTTGCCATCCAACTGTAAGGTACTCTCCTTTAGATTGATAATGGCTCCATTTTCTCGCAGGAAATCTCTTCCTAGAAGTGCGTTATAAGGGAGATCTTGAACCACTATGAAGGTGCATGAGTAACTTCCATTGGCTATGTCTAAAGCAGTCGTGAACATACCCAGGACTGGCAAAGCTTCGCCACTCACGGTTTCTACATCTCCTAAGTTGTCAGTCTGGAGTAGGAGAAGTTGTTCCTTGTAGACTTCTTGCAGGACTTCTCTGTCAATTACGCTAACTGCCGCTCCGGTGTCGACAAGTGCTTTAATGCTGTGTCTATTCAATTGTGCACTGACGGTCAGATCTCTAGGCTTAGCCTTTGAACTTTTAGTCTGGGAGCATCTGTAATCCCGTGGAATTTTTGTGAAAAAAGCAAGCCACCTATCTAGATGTGAACCTTAAAGTACTTGAAAACTATCTTTAATGACAACAGATTGTTACCAGAATTACTCCTATAACACATAATAGTGTATCTGACTTGAAAACGTATCTGTTAAGCAATTAATCTGGTCATGTGACCACAATAGCATGGAAACGAGGCTTCACCTTAAAGTACCAGAAAACCATCTTGAATGACAACAGATTGCTATCATTATTACTCAAATAGCACGTAATAGTGTATGTGACTTTACAACGTATCTGTTAAGCAATTAAACGGGTCACGTGACTAGGATAGCATGGAAGCGAGGCTTGAGCTTAACCCTCCGTTTGGCAACCACTAATAGCAAGTAGTCCATACAGGAAAAAGTAAACTTGAAGTGCCTTTCAGGTTATGTAGAACTGAAAAAGTTATTACAGAAGCCTTAAAACGAGGCCGCACCATAAAAATCCCTTTAAGCTTTTTTTTTTCCAATGACGTACACAAACAACATGATATTAATTTGAGGAGGACTCGGAAAAAAAATCCGAGTCCCAGATGGGATTTGAACCCACGACCCTCCGTGATCTAGTCGGATGCTCTAACCACTTGAGCTACTGGAGACTCTATGGTGAGCAAGGGCCAATTTGTGGGTCTCGACTGGAACCGCATCACGCGGCTACACAGCCAAGTAATGACTGGCACACAAGAACTCACTAACAGCATCGCGCTGTCACCTTAAAGCATATCCAAGATGCGGCCAACCAACCTCCAAAGTGAGTATATTAAAGATGAAACAACAACAACATGATATTAATTTGAGGAGGACTCCGAAAAAAAATCCGAGTCCCAGATGGGATTTGAACGCAAATCCCATCTGGGACTCGGATTTTTTTTTCGAGTCCTCCTCAAATTAATATCATGTTGTTGTTGTTTCATCTTTAATAGACCTACACAAAACAATAAAAATGCGATTTCCTTACTGTCAGGGCTAGACAGTCACTACAAGATGTTCTAGTTACCACCCTCCTCCTCGAAGTCATCGTCATTGTCATCAACACCATCATCATCATCATTAGAATCATCATCATCGTTAGAGTTTTCTTCATGGCTGTCAGCAATGTTATCACAAAGCTCATCCCCACCATCAATGCAGCTGCAAAGATCACTGAATTTACTTCCTGCCTTCCGAGACTGAGATCAATCTCTTTAGCACAGCCCGGCTTAACTAGTGGGGAACTGCGACTGCTGCCGATTGTAGTCATGTCATTACTGGAACCCATTCACCTTGAAAGAAACCCAGTTTCTACTTAGCTTCATTGTCACAAAGTCTTAGTTTAATAAAAAAATTAGTTTAATATCCAAGTAAAAATCTTTGTCAATTTTTCTTCTAAAGGAGACATCACTGTTTACAAACATTATTCAAATTTGTACTGAACGAGGGAAACAAAAGAATCTTTTGTTGCAAGAACCAATGAGCTTCTGGCTGGCGTATTAATATCAACAGCTGACTTCAGCGTGATGATCGCTATGGGTTCGGGTGACGGCAGCTCCGGGTTTTGTACCTTGTAATTGAGTCATATCATCTTCTGGTAATGTGCTCGCAATTTGCCCTCGTTCAATTTTTTGGAAGAAGTCATTTAGATTGGGCTTCCCTCTTTCGAATAAATCGGTAATCACCTCAGCAGTTCTTTTACACTAGAAATTCGAGTCTTTGGCTGCCACAGCTGGCAGACTAACTTCTCAATTACAGCAACGGCTCTTGATGTAGGCTGCGCAGTAGTCCCCAGATCCGGAAGTGCAACAGACGGCATCTTCAGCTTCAAGAAACCCTTTCCAACAGGCCAGCTTTCCTCTACCCTCGAGGCTTCCTGGTAATATCGGTTCCACTGCTCCACTGTCTTCATCTTTACGGAGAATGCTGCATCCCACCTAAAGATAAAACTATTATTGTCACTTCTACTACAGTAAGCGATTAAACGGCGTTTATTCTCAGTTTAAATTTGAAAGTGACTAACCTGACAAAGATATGTCGCAATTCAACCATACAATTGTACTTCTCAGATGTGTGCGCGGTGGAACAATATGGTGAAATGGTCAGCCAGGTAGGAGCAATTCTTAATCCAGTCCAGTTTTTCAAGAGCCTGCACTCTCTTGCCATTGAATAGTCCGACCTTCTCTGTAAGATGTTATCCCTGTACGAACTGACATGCAGATCCTCTTAATTATAACCTTCAATGTTTCTTCATGCATCCAGCTTTTCAAGGATGTCCATTAAGGTGCTCTTTAAGGAAACGTGAAACATGGTGCCATCCGCGGCATAAATCAACCTTAGCACTATTGAGAACTTGTACTGCCCAACAGCTAACTTGATGTCAATCTCAAGGTGTGCCTTGCAGGCCTGACATATTCATAACAACATGAAACGATTCGCCAGAAGAAAATGTGCTAACGTTGTATAGAGTTTCTCGGATCCTTCTCCTCCTCATTTCCGGGGCGGGAAGGGTACTCCCTTATATGGCCTATACAGGAATGTGTCGCTCGACAAAGTATTGTGTATGCAACGTCAAGATTTTAATTCACCTGTAGAAAGTGTAAAACAGCAAACTGATCTCTCTGTGTAAATGAATATTTTTTATTCTATTCTTTTGTTTACTTATTTATAGCCTTGCCATAAGGTTCGGTTTACCGATTCTTATTTTCTACAAGTTATTATTGTATTGATCTAGGTCTACAACTGGGAGATCCGGCACCACTCATTGGTTTGACGTCGTGGACTTGCTGATATTTCATATTAGCTCATATATTAATTCACCCGCAAGCAAAGGTTTGGCATATAGTGAAAATGTCCCCTCGTCCACCGGGTGTGCAGGTAACTTGAACCGCAAGGCCAGGATCGCTAAGGACAGATTTCTAACGGCCATGCACGGAACTTCGTGGCAAAGCATCGTCGACGGTCCTCGATAGAAAAGAGTCCTTGGTTATCATGAGTTATGCGAGCTGAAATTTACGTTCTGTGATCGCTTTGGTCCAGTGGAGGGAAGCAGTAGTTGGAGAACGATTGTAACCACCTGGGTTAAATTTGGAGGCGATTGAAGCATTTGAAGTGAACTTACGGCACATTTCTTGCGTTGAAATGCGGGAACTTCGCTCGTGTAAGTGACCAACCTTGAGTAATCAATCGTGTTCGTGAGAACGCATCCTAATCTTGGTGTTCCTGTGGCACAAAGCCACATATTTTCGAGGTATCGGGGGCGACTGCCGAGTAGCTACCCCCACTGAGTTTATTAGGGCCATCTCGGCCGGGAAACTGGACCCCTTTCGACTCGTTTCCGTTTCCGTGAGTGACGAACCCAGATCCGTAATCAATGATTACCTCTAGTATTAACAAATATATAGAGATCTATAGAGAGAACAATGGCAGAACTAAAAAAAATTATACCAGGAGACAAAAAAGAAGTTCTGAAGTCCTTCTCGTGCTATTTTTGACCCCTTATTACGATCGCTAAAATCCCCATAGTCCTTATAACATTTCTGTTAAACAACAACGATTCTCACTCGTGAGCTTGGGGTACCTGAGGTTATATTTGGTGTCACATATATCTTCTAAATTAATACCTCATAACCAATAAGTCTATTCTCAGCTGTTTAAGGACTGATAATGTCAAAATTACATATTTTGTAGATTTGGGGAAACCTCGTAAGTTTCCACTAGCTTCCAAATACTGTACGACATTTTAACGTCCAGCCTCCTTTCCTTGCTATAATGGTCACGTGACCAGTTTAATTGCTTACCAGATACGTTTTCAAGTCAGATACATCATTATGTGTTATATGAAAAATTCTGATAGCAATCTGTTGAAATTAAAGATTGTTTTCAGGTACTTCAAGTCTCAGCCTCGTTTCCATGCTAGAAGGCAAACGTCACATTTTAAATCCACCCCTGTGGCCGTCGGTGCGAGTTAAAAAATTGCCGACAACATTTTTTATGTTCCTTGGAGTCCCCTTAACACATCTAGACAGGTGGCTTGCTTTTTTCACAAAAATCCCACTGAACTTTATTTCTTGACATATGCTCCCAGACTATTTCTTTGACAACGTCATTACTACTCTGGAGCGGAGATGACTGACTGTGAGACTGAGAGCTGGGACGGGACAAAAGGAACTTGGTATGGCATTGGTGCGATGCTCTTCTAATGAAGGATACTGCTTCGAAGCTTTTTCATTGTTTGGTAACCCAATAACTTGTTGTGGCCGAGGTGAACTATCTCGACCGTTTATCGTGAACTTAGAGGGGTCAGGAAACAAGGATTGCTCTACATCACTTGGAATCTCTTCAAAATGTTTGGCTGAACATGAAGGGAGCTTGTCTCTGTTGTGAACACTGAGAGTCCTGGATTCAGTTGTAGAACGCGGTAACCGCGGGGTGGTACAGTGCGGGACTACAACACGGGAGTACTGGGCATCGTTAGGCTGGGTACCAGGAGGTCCTGTTGTTTTGGGCCCACTTGGTATAGATGTAGAGCTGAGGCTAAATAGGACTTGATTTCTTCTCTAATATTCTCGACATTATTATCCTGGATTCTCGCGTTTGGCAGTGGGCTTCATGTAATGAAATGTTTGATCTCTTTTGCCTGACAAGGGTGGTGGGCGAGGTGTTAATCTCCTTTGCAAATTTTCGGAGTTTCGAGACTTTTGTTTGGAGAACATGACAGCTTCACTAGAAATGATGTTAACACTCGTGTTCTGCATTATGTTGTCATTTTTGTGGAAGGGTTCTTGTGAACCGTTAGATACTTGGCTGCTCGTATTTCGCTTCAGTTGTGCAATGAAATCTTCATTGGATGAGTGTTCATCAAGTGCTGCTAAATTCAGATCACGTCGGTGTTGCTGTGGCGAATTTCGATAATTATCTCTTGTTTGATTATAAGTGTAATGTGGCTGATTATTAGATCTGCGAGCGGGAAATGATTCTTGAGGCAGTAGGTGAGGGCTTGGCTCTCTGCGTTCGGGGCAGTTGATTGCAAGATGGCGAATTCGTCCACAGGTAAAACAGCGTGGCTGTCCTTCTCTTGACCTTTGACGTGGTATTTCTTCGAGCCAGCCCTCGTCTGCGGGCATCAAAGTGTCGATCAAGGGACTGAATCTTATCCAGGAGAAGCTCTTTCAGTTCGTGAATATCGATTTTCTCGTGTGGTCTGGCAAGAGCTTCAACCGAAGTCTGATTAGTGTCGTTTTGCGAGGCAAATCCTACTTTTGGTTCACTTGTTGGTTTCCGAAGCTGACTTATGGAAGCAAAAATGGCATTATTTTGTTCCATCATAGCCATCAACTGCTTATCTTCAGAGGGAACATCTTGTTTGGCTTTTAAAACACTTGGCAACAATAAGGAATTCATTGTCTGCGTTAAGTTGTTACCTTGCGTGAGAATGGCTGTCTTGAGGGAAGTTACTCATAGTTGTTTTTACAGCACATACTAATCTTGCAATCTCTTGTGCTTCACGGAATGTTCGGGGCTGTTTGAGTAAAACTGTTTCTCGTACATCGGATCTTAGCCCTTGAACGAAATATCTCATCTTATCAGCGTCGGATATGTTTAATCTTCGGAACTTGTTGGTCAAATCTGTCAGGCAAACATCCAACGGTTCAAGTGGTCCTTGCTGTCGAGTAGAAACGGCTTGCCAAGTGATCCAACTTTGATTATCATTGGCAAATCTTTCTCTTAGGGCATCACGTAACTGGTTAAAAGTTTCTCTTTGATCAGCGGGCAGTGAATAATAGATATCTTCGGCCGGACCAGCGAGATTTAATTCAAGTTCCGCTAAGGCGGTAGGACTCGCAGGGTTGATTCGTCTCAACTTCAGATAGCTTTCAAACTTGTTTAACCAACGGGATACATATTTAGAGTCATAACCATGGAAAAAAGGAGGGCGGTGCGTACTCGTGGACTCTGGTATCGGGGCAGTCTCTAAAGCTGTACTCGTTTTCTTTTGTTGGGCCTGGATGGCGGCTGTTTGTTCTTGTAACTGTTTAAGCAATTCCGCAGACAGCGCGTCAGTTTCACGTAACTCTTCTAAGGGGTGATCTTCCTTGTTATCGTCTGTAAAATTACTTGCTTGACTTGTTGCTTCGTTCTCACTGACGCTTGATTCAAATCAGTCCTCGGTGAGATTGTCTCTCTCAGAGAACGGTCTTCGAAGAACTAGTTTAATTAAATCGGCGGGTGAATTAATCACCAAAGACGGTAACTGTATGGCGTTTCTGTTACGGTTCGAGGACTGGTCTGGTTTGTCGTCAATATCGGAATCACTACTTTCTTCTTTTGAATGTTCAATGTAAAATGGGTTGAACTGATACGATCGTTCGGGACAAGTCCGGGGTGTGTGTGTGTCGTGAAGTTGTTCTTCAGAGTCGCTCCGGCGCACAAAGGATTCGTCGTCGCTGTCGACACTGATATCTCGGGGATCAAAATCTGTAACTTCGCCTTGAGTGGGGGTACAGTATGCGGTTGAACGTCGGGATGACTTTAGAACTTGGTTTGAACTTGGGATTGGACACGTATAACTTGGACTGGTATTTAGGTGCTCTTCAACTTCGGTATCGCTTTCAGGACTTGAAAGAAAATGAAAAGGTAACTCAGCAAATAAAGCTTCACGGTCTTCGTCGGATAAATCGGCTTGTGTTTCTTGGTTTGCTACGGACACAACAGGCTTAAAAAGGGGAGCGTAGCGCTTGTGGCTCCTCAAACAATATCTTGGAAAAGTCCTCGTTAAAACTTTCTTCACTTTCTTCACAGAATGCACATAGGTCAACAAATAGGTGTTACTCGTGTACTTGGGCGACTAAAAGCTTTTCATTAGCCCTCCAAGGGATTTACATAGCGTGGCTACGAACTATCAAGCTTGTGTAACTGCTTCGTTCTTGCTTATCCTCAATTGTTCCATTTGAAGCTGCTCTGTTTCTCTAACCACTGTGACGATAGTTTTTGCCCTTCCAAGCACAAATCGGGGAAATAGGCGTTAAGAGAATTCGAAGTGACTTCGGCGTAAGAACAACAAGAGGGAAAACTAACTCTGCAACTCGCTTGGCTAGCGGGAAAGGAACTCGTCACTATTCCAAGGTACTAGGATCTGCTACAACTGGAAACAGGACAGGACTCAAACCTGGACTTTAACAGTTTAATCTTCAGCTCGTGAACGTAAATCATGCAGTCATGTAAATCCGCAATGTAAATCGAAAAATAGGAATAACAGTGCTCTATTTATACTAACCGATCAACTTATTACAATATCACAAAACAAATGGAAAGGAGGCTGAATAAAATCAGCTGAACAGCGAAAACAAATCTGGATAAATTCAGTTTTAAAGTTCATATGTTAAACTAAATAACTCAAAATTAAATGTCAGTCAAGCAAGTGAATTTTAGGAAACCTACAAAGAAAGCTGTGTAAAAGAATTCGAGTTTCCTTTGCTCAGGATTCCATGAAATGTCAAAACTAAAACCTACGAACAGTTGGTATTTGAACAGGCGAAAGATCCAGTTATTCAAATCTCAAATCTTTATTTTATTGCGGTAAAGAAATTCATCAGGTTTTTTGTCACATATAAAGTACTGATTGCTTCACAAGTACAACTACATAACAATAATTCAGTGACTAAGCTGTATAATTATCCAGAAGCAAATTATCCTTTTAAAAGTAAAAATTGAAGTAAAATGTGTATAATTTAAGGGAACTAAAACAACTCAATGCAAATTCAATGTAAATTACGGCTAACACAACTTCAAAGGGAATATTTAAAAGCTAGAGATAAAATTCGAATCAAATAAAGAATACATGGGAAATCTCTTCTTACAACGGTATTTAAAACACGAACAACCCATATTCCCCTGATTCACTCTGACGAAAGGCTAGCACTCGAAACGTCACCTTCTCCATCCTCCTGGGGTGGTCAATCTACTTTATCAACTCAGTTGATAGAGCGGAAATATTTGCATTTCACCCCATCGCCGATGCAACATCACAGTTTCTTTACAAACTAGTGCCTTTTTTAGTCCGCTGGCCATTAAATAAGTCCTCTCGTTCCGCTTTTCGCAATATCCCCCAAATGGAGAGCTTGCTCGCAGGCTAAAAGATGACCTGTATTCTTGAGGCAGCGATATGGTTAAGGAAACCTGGGACCAGGCTCCGCATTGGGGGAAATCGGCTTGAGCGAAAAAAAAAGAAATCGGCGAGCGAAGCGAGCGGAGAGGTAGTCTGGGGACGGAAAGGGTGGCGGAGCCTGGAGGCATGCTTGTGATGCTGCTGATCCGCTCAACAAGTCAAGTTCTCATCGCGGATGTCAGCGTGAGCTTATTACAGTCCGACCTCTATTAAGCGGCCACCCTCGGGACTTTGAAAAGTGGCCGCTTAATAGAGGTACAATTTTATAATAAATTGGATAGGAATGGCAGCAAACATGATTTTATTGACTCTATATAGCAAAATGCTTTTAAAAAGTGAACATATATGAAGATAAATCCAAAATTCATTGTAACAAAACAACCAGTGCATTTCCAGCCCATGCATAGTTCTAGCTCTAACACAGAGGGCATGTAGTTGAAATGTACAGTATTTCTTCGGTTTGATAATGTACAGAAAAAATGCAAAACATCGTTGACAAGTTTCTTAGGCCTTTTTGCATCAACAGTGTAGTATGTGAAAAAATTTAGCTCAAGATATTTCACGGACGATTCTATTTAAAATAATCCGTCAATGCTGTTTGCTGTTTTGGGGCGCAGAGTTGTAATGACGAGATCACGTTATTTGCCTTTCCTACAGCTTTGTTTGTATAGCGCCGGATGTGAAAAGTTTGCACGTGTACGCGGCTTGTGACTTATTATAGTGGAGATTAAATTGCAGTTCTTGTTTTCTTGTTGTTATCAGTTATCACCTTATATCATCTGTCACCATTTCGCTAGGAAAGATTATTTGCTGGCCGCTTAATGGAGGTAAAAAACCATATAAATAATACATTTGCGACAGCAAAAAGGTGGCCGCGGCTACTTAATAGAGGTGGCCGTTGAATAGAAGTATCAAATACAGCAGTTTACTGACAAGTGAATCGGGACTTTGGAAAGTTGCTGCTTAATGGAGGGTGGCCGCTTAATAGGTGACCGCTTAATAGAGGTCGGACTGTTTGTCGCTTTTCTTTTGATTCTTATGTTAAATGTACCAGACGAATTATTGCTTTAGGAAATTTATATTCCGGGGAGGAAAAATGCGTAAGTTTCGCACCTTATGCGACAGACTATTGAGTTTGAGTGTATTCCTGTTGAATTCGATGTCCGTTGGTTCTCCGTAACGTTGTGATTTACCCGTTCTCGGAGCACCGGGCTTAGCTGTACGCAACTTGCATTCTTTGCATGTATCCATTGATTTTTGGGTTTTATCAGGCTTTTGGTAGGAGCGTGATTTATGATAATGCTGTGCCCTTTGAACGTCGGTTTATAAGTCAATTGCTTTGTAAATTTGACGGTAGTTTATCACAGGAAAGTATAAGAAAAGCCGAACATTTTCAATGCTTAATTTTTCTTTTTGCAACCGATCACAGGCATATGTTTTTTCCTCTTCTTAGAGCCGAGGGATAAGAGAAAAGTCTCGCAAAGAAATTTTTTTTGCTTGCTCGAAATTAGTGTTGAAAAAAAAAAATTTTCCAGAATAGTAGGAACGTGACATTGAAAGAGCGCGATACTGTCAACAGCACCGCGAATCCGTCAACATGAAGACATTTGACCAATCAGAGCATGATAAGAGATTCTGGTATTAGGGAACGGCGGTATCAAAGGCATATGTCTCCAGGCTCCGCCGCCCGTTCCCCCTCCCTAGACCACCGCTAGGCTTGCTTCTGCCGCCCGTTCCCCCTCCCTAGACCACCGCTAGGCTTGCTTAGCTCGCCGATATTTTTTCTATTTGACCCCGTTTTTTGCCTTTTTCCCCCACTGTAGAGCCGGGTCCCAGGCTAACGCGGGCAAAGCGGGTTGCCTTCAAGTCACATGATAACCCAAAGAAAAAGGCTGACCTTGGGTGTTAACAATTGCACAAAGAAACCGTTTGGCTGATGAGTGGCAAATGTTGAGGACTTTTACGACAGGAAGAGGTGCTGCTTCCATCAATTTTCCCTCTAATCAGCCAACAACGAAATACTTATGATTATGGCTGGAAAATTGGACATTGTCGATTTCTTGTTCTTTAATTTATTCAGTTAAAACAGTTAAAAGAAAATCTCTCAAAAATTGTGAATAGAAGAACCTGACACTTGCCACATTTGTTTAAAAAGTATGCTGTACGAGGTATTCTAACTTGGGAGCTAAAATGGGGAAGGCTTTCTAAGGCGAATGAAAAATGCCACTATCTTCCGAAATCTATACCGAAACACCCCAAAATTTCTCCCTGTTTTATTGAATTAGAAGAAATCATTAAATATTGTTGTTTTTTTTTGTCTTAGAAAAGTGGTAGCAAGGTCAGCGTTATTAATTTATCTTTCTACTTTTGTTTAGTGACAATTGGAACAACTTTGACTTCGCCTGCCTTGTAATCTATTTCATCATACTGATATTGAGAATTGTCACATGGGTCAATGCTGGATCAGTTGCGAACAACAGAGCCCTTGTTATTGCTGGCTATATGTACAGTTTTAACACCTTGTGTCTTACTCTTCGAGCCTTTGGCCAGGTGACGGAACAACTAAAAGATGTTGGCACCGTCCAAATTGCCCTGTTTAGCATCCTCAAAGATGTTCGCACAGTATTATCGCAGTTCCTTGCTGTAATCTTGGCATTCTCCATCGCTATCACGAAGATTTACATCTCCGAGAGATCTTTTATTGCAAACGAGAGTGAACGACATGAAACGTAAGCATCGAAATACGTGTAAAAATCTTAAGGTGATTTTCTAGTAAAAGAACTGGACATCGGTAGATTTTCAATGAAACTTGGATCAACGTTGTAACAAGTCAAGAGTATGATAAAACCGTAATAAAAAGTGGAGATCATCGTGGTTGTTTTCACGGTACAATGCTGACAAATACTGCTATTTAGGCAAAAACTGCGCGCAGCACAAAACTAGACAAATAACCGCGATTTTTTTCCCATGAAGCCTGTGATATCGCCCAGAATTTCAATTCTATTGTTCATCCACCTACGTACCGTAAAATTCCGTTGAATACCTTTGTTTTTACTTCACGCTGAAAAGTAGACTTAATTTGTATATGCGCTGTTCAAGTCGTTATAGCTCAATCCGTACAATTTAGTTAAATTGCCATAAAACTAAAGATAGATTACTGCCTACTTTTTTTTCTCCTTGAAAGGAAGCACTATTCTTATTAAAATCACAAAATAAAAAATAGGGGCAGGCGTACTCGTTTTTAAGGTAGAGCTGCAGAAGATGCGCACCACTTGGATTCCTTTCGAGTTTGAGCGAGGACTAGGGCGAGTTTCGAAATGGCATGTAGGTGGAAGGTAAAAAAAAACCATTGAAAAATACATAAAATAACATTAAGATATCGCAATTATGACGCTACGAGATAAAGGTGGAGCTTACCTGCCATTTGTGGTTATTCAGCACAAGTTTGATATCCACTATCGAAGACCTCGGTGAGGCAGTGGAACTGAAACTATCTGAAATTTACTTTTTTTAGGTTGGAAAGTTTACGTATTTAGTATAAAATAGGCCTGGTCCCTAATGTATTAAAAGAAATGTTTCTAATGACAAATCAAGTTCATTCCTAAAATACCAGAAATTCAAATACTTTCTGCTTATTTTCTGCACGAAAAAATATGACTTTTTGGTATAAGATTTCAGGGTCCTAAATTTTTCAACTCACTAAATAACAATATACAAAGTGCTGCTACTTCTTAGTTGATGAACCATTTGGAAATAATACTTGTTTTTTGTTGCTTTTTGTCTGTTTTGTCCGTTTTGTTTTGCTTGCTTTTTATTCTAATTATATTTCAGTATGATTTTGCCACTTATTTTTTCATTATATTTTGTCTTAAGTTAGGGAGGGCGCTCCTATAATAAGGTTTCTATTTGACCTTTCTCACCAGAAAATACTTTTGATTCTTTTACTTCCAATTTACGTCTCTTTAATCTTTAATTTTTTTAATATATTGAATTTTTGTATGCAAATGTATTTTTTTTTTGACAAAAAAAAAAAAGTCTAAAACTGAAACTGAATCAAAACGCGTCTGGCCGCTTACGTTATGGACATTCCCAACAAATTGAGTCTCAACTCGTCCAGAAAAAACTGCCATTGAAAATTCCACTAAAGTTTCTTTGATCGAATTCATTTTAATGTTTCTGAATAAGCACTTTTTCATTGCGGCCGCCTTGTTATTCGCAGTGAGAGATGCGTACTGCAAAACCAGGGAATCAACGCAAGTGACTTTGGTCCAAAATACCCTTCCCTAGATCCAAGTGATTCAAAATCTCTCGGGCTTCCAGAGCGACTAGAGTTTTGATTTTTCCTCTTGACCGTGCAATTTTTGCTGCTTTTAATAGTTGCAAACCCCAACCAGATTATTTACATATTAGGCTCTTCAATCTACGTTGTAGAACAAACACGTTTTTTTCTTGTTTTTTTGTTTAATTACGCATTTCAGACAACGTGACCTCCTAGCGGAATTTTTTATTTCCATCGTCTTTTAAAAACATACATGAACAGGGTAAACCTCTTTCTGTGTCTTCTTAATTCGTTTTCTTCCCTAACTTTGAAATTATTGTAATCGCGCAGGGCCCAAACACAGGGCCCACACATTGACAGTCGTCAAGTGTGTATGTATGTGTGTATGTAGTTAGGTATTATTATTATTATTTATTCAAAATATTTCTCTGTTTCTGATTGGCTCAAATCCCATGTATAATTCATCATAACCAGCCACTGTTGACCAAAATTGGAAAAAGTTTGCGATATGTAAAAAATGACGTCAATATCTACGGCATAATTGCCAGAAAACTGGACAGTTGACAGAGAAGCCCTGGAGACGAGGTTGATTTGTTTTGGTAGAGCAATGCAAAATAGCCCAAAATTTTACTCGTTTCGCTAACTACGGGCTAAAAACATAGCAAAAAAGGCAAGAATACAACTCGACGGACGACATTTGCTATTTGGAGAATATTTGCAGTATTAAACATCCCTATATTTCCTAAACTAGCCGATAAACAGACAATTGAAGATGAACTTAACATCGGTGGAAGTAAGCATGTTTTAGCATGTTTTAAAGTAGGAATTATTTTGAATGAATCATAAAACAATTATTGAATTCGGCTATCGTATCATCTGAAGAATTATGTGGATCTCAGAGGGTGTTATCCACCTCGGCCTAATCGGCCTCGGCGGATAACATCCTCCTCGATCTCCATTATTCTTCAGTTGATACGAAGCCTCATCGAATAATTGTTAATAACAATAATAATAATAATAATAATAATAATAATAATAATAATAATAATAATAATAATAATAACACACCATACTTTAAAAAGGCCATATTCTAACAAGGACGTCACTTTGCTTTTCAGTGCCTGCAAGGAATCCGGACTTTCTTGGTATGTGTTGCCCAGCAATGTTAGTGTAAATCCTATTCATACCTCCGTAGTTTTTGGTTTCTTGGACACTGCTAAGAGAGAGGGGTGTGTTCAAATTTACGATTCTATCTGAGTAACGATCCAGGCGGCAGTGTTCTGAACATATTAAAGTTTCTTGAACTGGATTTTTCTTCAAAAGTAGAGCAAGGAATCGCAATAGTCTAGTTTAGATGTTTTCAAAGGGACCTAGAGCAGAGCCCTGCAGAACGCTTACAGTCAGTTCCCTAACCGACGATTCTGCATCATTGATTTAGGCAAACTGAGATCGGTCAGACAGATAATATATGGATTTATCCAGGGCTAAAAGCGAAGCTTCCATTAATAAATTTATAATTCAAATCAAACAATAAACTTGTAATCCACAAATCGGTTAACTTAAGGGCACATTCATGTGACTTTTGAGGGAAAGGCTAAGTGATTTTAGAGTGAAACATCTTACATCGCATTAAGCAAGGTGAAAAACGAAAACGATGCCATTCGAAACTTTCACAAGCGACTCATCTCTCGACCAAAACAACACTAAACAAAGTAGCCATGAATAACAGAAGACTCTTGATAGCAGCTGTATTTCATTTTGTACATCCAGTGGAAAAAGACAGTTAAAAACATCACAAGTTGGCGCAAAACTCTGTCAGCTTCAGCTGTCAAAGTAAACAAGTTTCAAGATGCTACATAAATTTTGCGCATGAACTCACCTGTGAAATTTTGACCAATCAGAGCATAAAAATTGGACGTAGAACGTGACCAACGCGTGACCTTGGTAAGAAAAGGTCTTCCCCGCCTGTATTTAGAAATAACTGGCTGAATTTTCGCGTCCGAGGTTAGTTTGAAATCAAAATCTTAATAGTGCGGGGTCATAGTGACATAAACAAAACATATTTCATATGAATTATTTGAAAGAATAGACTTGAGCCTGCGATCATTTGAAAGCTAGTAACTTGTCAGCGGATAACTTCAAAAAAGTATTCGATCTCGATGGGTCGACACCTGAGCCCGCGATACGGTCAGGTGATACTGGTCAGCGGATACCTTGTTTTGACAGCTGTCAATTGATCCATAGATATTATCCATAATTGATCACAACATTGATGTGCAATCAGTTTTCTCCTGGGCTCCCAAAGTGGTTAGAAAGTGTGAAAGTAAACATTGGTTTTCCTGTGGTGCGGACGGACGGAAGGTCGCTTCGTGTACGGTCACGTGATAACCAAATTTTCTGGGATGGGTAGATTTACTTAGCTATGGGGCTCCGCCGCACGCGCGTGGAGCTCCACTATGAATGAAACCACTGCAAAACAGTTCGCGTAATGCCAAACGAGTTCTCTAAACCCGAAAGTAGCAAAGAATGGTTCACCGTGTCAAATGCCAATGACAAGTCCAGTAACAATAGGAACACATTGTCCCCCCTGTTATTTGTCAGATGTCATTTGTGATCATTAGCAATGCGGTCTTTGTACTGTGGTGTGCTTTTACGCAGATTGAAAAAGTTAATGCAAGCCATTATCCGTGAGATAATTATTCAGCTGCACAAATACAGGCTTCTCTCGTCGTTTTGAAAGAAACTAATTCAAAATGGACACCGGGCAGAAGTTAGAAAATTGCTCAAAGTCAGCATTCGATTTCTTCAGTAGCGGCCGCAACGAAGCGATCTTCAGATCCTTTGGCATAGATCCAGTCGACAGCGAGAGATTGATTACCGTTTTGAATACCGCGACAGGAGCTGAGTAGCAACTTTGCATTTTGGTTGCTGGTAGGGAATCAAGCTTACAAGCCTTGATAGTAGAACATCTGAACAGTTTCAAGACATCCCCATCAGTGACCAAATCAAAAACACTAAACCATGACGGCAGGCCGGCTTAGCCAGACCAGGGGAGTCAGCGAGTCCACTTTTCCTAAGAACAAGCTCCTCACGAATCCTTCTATCTTGGAAGCGAAAGAATCTGCTAAAGTGATAGCAAGTTGTTGATCATTATCCGCGGAAGGATAATGATTCTCAGTTTGCCTATGCAGAAGCTTATCTGTAGATCGAAAGATGAGCCTGGTGTCATCGGCGTTGTCTTGGATAACCGAAGAATTAAAACGAATAAATTCCTTGACTTTGTATAGCATTGTATTCACAACACTACATCTGTCCGACCCAAGGCGGCTAGAGCGCCACCTAAGCTGTAACCTGTGCCGCTTCCTCTTCTTATTGCAAGTATCCTCGTAATACCAGGGGGCGTTTGGACGAATGACGATGGTCAAAGACTTCACGGGAGTCAATATGTCCATGATATCGCGCAAGACTTTGTCATACCTGTTAACCAACAACTCCAGGGGAAGATAAGATAATAATTTATTATTGTTAATATCATTAGTGATAATTTTCAAGTGCCTTACCCCGGCCCGAGATTAAAACGTGAGAAAATGCATCATTATTGCCCAGGCAGAGAGAAAGTGGGCTCTGCTGCAATTGACCGATGCATGAAGAAAAATAACAATTAATACTAAATAGTGAAATTCCTGTTTACTCACAGTTGGTGGGCGATGCTTTCCCTCCTGGGCTGGTCCCTGCTGGATCGTTCTGAAGACAGTGGCCCCATGACATCCGTGGATCCTCCCTCGGCCTTACTTGCTCGAATTTTCTACGCTACTTTTCTTATCGTGGGAGTTGTTCTTCTCATTAACATGCTGATAGCCTTATTGTCCAATACATATCAGAAAATAGAGGTAAAGTTTAATGGCTTAGTGTTTTTACGCTCGTGAGCAAAAAAGATGTGGAGTAATTTTAAAGTTGTAAAAGTAATCTTAAAAGATTATTTAGTGACAAAAATGTTGTCTAGTGGCGTACAAAGCCACTGTGCACGTTAGCGCAAGTTATTTAATGGTTTCTTTGTCCTTTTCACGACGTTGTAAGGTAGCAGAACGCGAGGTTCGATGAAAAAAAAAACAACTTTTGAGAGCCGATCACCACATGTAACATGAAGTAAGTCAGCATTTCATCGCATTGGCTTCTTCCCCTTGTTACTTTTACTAAAATTAACGTGTGTAAGATCAGGAAGACTAACTTTCACTGTTTCACTCTCTTAGGGGCCTATGAGATCTGGTTTTAACCAATTCTAACTTTTTTGTTGCTAAGAAAAATGGCTATCAAGGTCAATTCAAGTGGTATTAAAAGAGGTTTTTCGTTCTCCCCAAGATATAAGCCGATGTAAAGTGTCACGCTTACCCACACATAACATTCACACTACACTTTCAGTTGTCTAAAGTTATATTTAATGGTCGTCTGCGACACTTAAATGCTTCTGAGGTCAGTGGGAAGATGAGCAAGCTGGTGATTGACTGAGCCATTATTGATTTAAAATAAATTGATTGTAGGGAACGGATCAGAAGGTAAAAAGAGCTCCGTTTTGAGGCTTGCCTAAATTTATCAAGTATTTGTTTTTAATTATAGTGTTTTTTTGTCAGTGTCATTGACAACACTTATTGATTTTCAATACAAAGCAATTTCTTTACCTTTTGAGTTTTAAATTCTATACTTTCGCAAGGATTTCAGATAAATTTTTATTTTTATGTCGCGAGTCACAGCTATCGTCGCGGGTCGAGGGGGTAAATTGTTGTCGTTAATTGCTAACTAACCTAGCATTTGTTATCTTCTAAATGTTGTGTTTGTTGTTTAATTTTTACAAGGAAAACGCTGTAAGAGAGTGGTCGTTTAAAAGAGCAATTACAATTCAGACGTACGAGGGATATGATCCGATTCCAGTGCCTCTTAATATCATCTACAGAACATACAAAATTTTCCATCCCAAAGAATACCCATCAAGTCAAGACAAAGTAAGTGTAAAAAAGCAATCATATTTCTTTGGAAAAGCGTCAGTAGTTTTTGTGCAATGTATATGACTTTGCTTGTTTTTAGTTTTTGTTTTATTTCTGTTTGACTGGTTGTTTTTTGTATCTTTGAATTATGCCAAGGATTTATATGCCCACGTCTCCCTAGCGTTCCTTTTTTGTTTTAAGGTTTCAATTCGGGAATTGTTGAAGAAACTTGAAGCAGTATACTTCACTCAGCATGGAAATTCGTTTCCAATTTCAGGTACAGCTTTTAAGGACCATGTTATACCTGTTGACACAAAGACAAGGTCAGCAATAGGCCTACTAAAGGGACCAATCCCTTTTGGTCACCAGTGGGGTTTGGGTGGCTAGAGGGTCAGAGGAATGTCTGGATAAATCGGTTCATTTATCTAAACCAATGCATTATTTGTTCTACACCCCTCGAGGATGCTAGAAGTTAAAGAAAAACCCCCTTAGCCGTGTCTAGCACTGCTGCTTTTGTGTCCATGCCTTGCACGCGAAGACCTTAAAACATCCATGCGATGGTTTACCTCATAAGCAAACGAAACCGAAAATTTAAACAACTGGTCCAAACTAAACCAATGGGCGAAAATACCACAACTAACATAGAAACTAACAGGAAAGTATCCGTAGCTGGTAGTAGCCTTACAGAAAGTGGTAAGGAAGCTGAAGAAAGCAAAGATTGCAAGTTCAGAACATATCGCCAATGTCACAGGCCGCAGAGGTATAAATTTCCTTAACGACTACGATGAAGCCGACGAAGAAGAGCTATGATGACTCTCGCAGTAGGTCAAATGAAACAATGAAAACCCCAGCGCTGACAAAAAGCAAATATTATATTAGGGACCGATTGTTTATTACGTCCTGGGGGGGTGTATGAAAACTGTACCCTCCTAAAAGAATTTCATATGAAAATTGAACCCCCCCCCCCCCTTGCGCCCAGAGATGAGTAAATAGCCCCCCCCCCCCCCACACAACCACACTCAGACGGTCTCTCTCTCTAGAGAGATCACACCCACCAAGTTAGCAACTATATGGCTCCCCACTCAA